ATTTACTACTGCTCAGTTCATCATTTTGCAAACTCTGCCACTCATCTACTGCTTGCCTGCACCCAGAGTTAAAACTTCTAGAAAATACATGCCTATTATCTGGATTAAAAACCCTAATGCAATCTATGCACTTGGATTTTCCTAAGTTCATAATGTTTTTAGACTCTTAATTGGCTGAAGTTCCCCCTACATTAATACTTTTATATGTATTTTATATCATATATGTACCTGTTTATACTTTGAATAGACAGTGACAAGCATTTTGGATATGAAAATGATGTTGAAAGCACCTATTTCACTGACAAGCCCACATATGCTGAACCACCACCTATTTGTAGGTTTAAAAAGACAACACCCTTCCCCCCCAGCATTTTTTTCCATCAAAGTATTGAAGTGATTTTGTGGAGTTGTATCCTTTTAAAACATTGGAACAAGCTGGCAAAATCTGCAATAGCACAATCATGTTTTAGCACTAAGACAATTGAAAAAGGATTACTGTATTCTGGATGCAGCAATCTGTACCGAACATCTGAAAACCTTAGTCATGAAACATTGCTTTCCAAACAGTGAACATATGCAGATTTGCAAAAACACTAAAAACATGGTTCAAAGCTGTATCCATGAACAGTACTGAGATGAGAATAATCCTGTTTCTTGAAGCATAGAGAAGCCGAGGCTACAACTACTAAATGACTGGTTTATAGTAACTAGAGCCTGAACAGAAGCAAAGCACAGAGAGAGATTTACAAGTAGGATATGAGTAAGTTTTAGGGCAAATCTGAAGCCCCTCTTTAAAACATTAACACCCATATTTACTGCCTGTTTAATCCACCTGTTTGCATCCATTTATATTCTTCTATAAGTATTTATAAACATTACTTTCCACTGTTTCTCCTTCACCATGATGATGCATAACACCCAATTCTGTACACGTTAAAATCCCCAAATCTTTCCCTTACAAACTCAGGGTGCAGCATAATTAGCAAATTCCACCAACTCTAGCTTTTGTCAGAAAATGCAGTTTCTCTCCATCCTTCACTCACGCTCACACTTGGTACTTGCAGTTCTGTTCAGAACACTGCAGGGGAGATTAATCTTACCTAGCCTTAGAAGCTTAGGTCAGCTAAAAAACATGGGCAAAACTGTAGTAACTCACCTCAGGCTCCCTATAATACCAGTGAGGAACATATGCAATTTTAGGACAGCAGTCATCTGACCTACTTTAAATAGTAAGAGATGAGTCACAACAACAACAAAAAAACCCCAAACCCCTACTCCTCTCCCTGCCTAAATGTGATTCGACGTGAAGCTGTCCACACCAGTCATCTGAATTTAGATAAGGCTCATCTCCCTTAAGTGACAAAAAATAATCTTTCTAGATCTACAAACTGACCCGTTTGGCTGACCATTCAGATTAAAGTCAACCAGTTTCTCTGTTGCTTCGCTGGTTCGACAAGTCACTGTGAAACATCAGTTAGAACCATAGAAGCAACAGAGAAACTGTGAAAAACAACCTTCAGATTAACCTTGGTAGCTAAGTAGTAACAGAAAAAAGTAGCAGAGCTGTCTTTTCACCAGGAGTAACAGCAGCAAGAGCTCCAAGATCACTTGTTTCAGCCAAGGTCAAAGGGATCTGGATCAGCTCCCTCCATTCTTTTTCCCTCATCTTTAAGAAGGAAGAGCCTGTGCTGCTTCCTCCAGACCTTTTATTGAAAGGGTAGTGCCACTGAGCTTCTACAGAAATAAAAGTGTGAGTGTGTGTGAATGTGTGTGTGTTAACTTGTGGGACTCAATAGTGCAAAGTATTGTTGAAGCCTGCCTAAAGGAGAAAAAGCCTCAGAAAATATTACACCTATGTAAGTGAGAACACCCACAATTAAAGTCAACAATACAAAGATCCTTAAGAAACATGTGCCTAAGAGAGATCTTCCATGCTACTCTAGAAGCATGAAAAGTACTTCTGAAACTCCCTGACTTACTCATCCTCTTTTGTCTCTCCCCTTGTCATTATTTTCACATTTGTTTAATAATAAGCATCACTGCACACCAGTTACTGACACCCAGGTTCCTGAATATAACCATGTGCAGTATTTAAAACATTTTAATCATTGAGATACTGCTGACCATCTCCATCCTACCTATTCTGTCCCTGCTCAATTCATTCACCCTCAAAACTGACTGTAGAAGATGTTATGCTCTTATGTTAGAAACACCTCTGCCTCCCCCCAACACTAACAGAACTCAACAACAATATTTATGTTTTAGGATGTAAGCGAACAAGTAATCATAGGAGTTAAGAGAATATCTATTGACATCTTATTTCACAACCTTCCTTTTGGTGGCACATTACCCTGACATATCATCCTTATTTTCAGACAACAAACAGAAGCAGATGAACACAGGGGATGATTTGCTCCCCCAATTCTTAAGCTCCTAAACTGATTACATCCATAAAGTACCACAGCAGATGGACTGATGTAACACCTAAAAGCTTTTTGCTTGGTTTCTACTATGCTGCTATATATTTTGGCAATTCTGTACCTGAATAAGGGTTTCAGATAGGTGTTAGTTAATCAGTTCAGTGTGTTCATCTAGGTCAAGATAAAAGATCAAAGCCTACCTCTTGCCACAGGTAAGAAATCTCTCACTCTAATTATTTATACTTTCTCTTTTGAGAGAAGCATTCTGAAGGCCTCTAGCTCTCCTTATTGACTCAACAGGAATCAGGATGACACAGTGAAGGCAGAAACGTGTAACTCCTATTGCCAGACAATATCCAAATTCCTCTGAAGAGGAAAGAACATGGCTGCCCTTAAAAACCCTCAGTTTGGCAAATGTTGTCCCAATTTTCTAGACGGGTAAGAAGGAAGACCCTGGTAATTACAGGCCTGTCAGTCTCACTTCAGCACCTGGTAAAATTATGGAGAAGGTTATTCTGGCAGTTATTGAAAAACACTTGAGAGACAACACAACCGTTGGTCATAGCCAGCACAGGTTCACAAGGGGAAAGTCCTGCTTAACCAACTTAATTGCCTTTTATGACAAGGTCACCCATCTAGTTGACCAAGGGAAGCCAGTAAATGTGTTTTTTGGGGGTTTTAGCAAAGCTTTTGATACTGTATCTCACAGTATCCTTCTAGATAAACTGTCCAGCACACAGCTAGACAAGTCTGTAATAGGTTGGCTGAGCAATTGGCTGATGGGTCGGGCTCCAAGGGTTACAGTAAACTGGATTACATCAGGCTGGCAGCCAGTCAGCAGTGGGATTCCCCAGGGCTCAATTTTAGGGCCAGTGCTCTTTAATGCTTTTATAAATGATCTGGATGCAGGAATCGAGTGCACATTAAGTAAGCTTGCTGACGATACTGAACTAGGAGGAGCTGTGGATTCCCTCGAGGGTAGAGAGGCCTTACAGAGAGATCTGGATTGACTAGAGAGCTGGGCAATTGCCAACCGTATGAAATTTAGTAAGACCAAGTGCCGGATTCTCCACCTGGAATGGGGTAATCCTAGTTATACGTACAAACTGGGGGACGAGAGGCTGGAGAGCAACCCTGAGGAAAGAGATCTGGGGGTTTGGGTTCATGGCAAGTTGAATATCAGTCAACAGTGCGCCCTGGCAGCCAAAAGGGCCAAACGTGTCTCGGGGTGCATCAAGCACAGCATAGCTGGCTGGTCGATGGAGGGGATTGTCCCACTCTACACTACATTGGCGTGGCCCCACCTCGAGTACTGTGTGCAATTTTGAGTGCCTCGATGTAAGAAGTACATCAACCTATCAGACTGTGCCCAGAGGAGGGCGACCGAGATGGTAAAAAGTCTTGAGGGAAAGACTTACAAGGAGCAGCTGAAGTCACTTGGTTTGTTCAGCTTGGAGAAGAGAAGGTTGAGGGGTGCCCTCATGGCAGTCTACAACTTCCTCAAGGGGGGCAGCAGAGGGGGAGGTGTTGATCTCCTCTCTCTGGTGACCAGCGATAGGACACGAGGGAATGGAATGAAGCTGCATCAGGGGAAGTTCAGATTGGACATTAGGAAAAGGTTCTTCACTGAGAGGGTGGTTGGTTACTGCGACAGGCTCCCCAGGGAAGTGGTCACGGCACCAAGCCTGCCAGAGTTCAAGGAGCATCTGGATGACGCTCTTAGTCATATGGTTTAGTTTTACGTAGTCCTGTGAGGAGCAGGGACTTGGGACTTGATGATTCTTATGGGTCCCTTCCAACTTGAGATATTCTACGATTCTGTAATTCTATGGATTCTCCTCCCCTTTGAAATCTCTGTAGTATTAAGGTTTAGCAACGACAGCAAAGGCATGCAAGGCATCTATCAGGTAACAACAGATGTTTCTTTACGAATTCTGCAGGAGTTGCCTCCTCCCCACCCCCTTTCCTTAATGACTGTAACTACTCTTGCCCCATGTATACTCAGGAAGAGAGACCAAAGGGGACACAAACAACATACACCTTGTTTCTTGGGTAGGAGGAGAGGACACACTTCCTAGATGTTTTCCCATAAAAGTCTTTTTCCTTCTTCCTATATTCAGCCATATTTTCCATGGTAATACAAAAGACACCACCAGCAGCAAATCAATTATTTCCCCAAATAGAAGGGAAGGGCATGGTCAAGTAAATGTGATCTTTAAATATAAACTTTGACTCAGAATATATACTAAAACTTGTGACCTCCTGTTCTATATAAAGACTTTTTTAGCTGCTCTAGAGTGAGTAACCAGCATCCTGAGGGTTTCTTCAATGCAAAACCTAAATTATCTTAGCTGTATAAAGGCAACAAATACCATTTGAAGGAAATCTCTGTTGGTTTTACCAAAATTTCTCACACTTATATGAAAGATACTGATATAGCTGCTTTTATTACCCTTCTCTTATGAACTAATATTTTTCTTGAGTGAATTTTCAATTTTGCTAAGTACTGTAAGTTACAGAAAAGTTAATAACAATACAAAGATAATAAACAGATGAAAAAATATTCCTGTGACACTATACCTTATTGAGTTTGCCAAGTGAAGATATAAGATCCGCCCATTCACTTGATGATTCAAAGTTTCTCAAAGCTTTCTCAATCGCTGAAGAATAATTTCTGTATCTGTAATCACCAAGTAACTCCTGCTCTTCTGGATCCATTTTTGGTTCTCATAGCAAGGTGGAATTTCCTGGTAAACTAAAACATGCATACAGTTACAAAAAGAAAACCCGCATTTAAGTTCTGGCAAACCTAAAGTACTGTAAGATAATAATAAATAAGTAGAAGCACTGACAGATCACAATAAACAGGTCATCTGCTCAAGTTTCAACATAAAGTTAAAAATAATTTAACAGGCATGACTCCAGCTCCCCACTGCCTGTTTTAGAAGTTTTGCAGTCACATTTTCCTATTTATGAAACGTGGTTTTTTTCCTTCCGTGCACGTGGATCTCTCACACAATAACAAAAAAAAAGGAATATAAAGTCTCACTATAAACAGTCAAAGTGCTGACAAGGAGTTAGGGAGAAGTAAATAGTTTTCATAATTTAACATCTGTGCAGTGTTTTGAAAGGTTACCTGTAGCGGTGGAATGTGAAATATTTCATATCAAAATACAACTTTCCAGAGGAATCCTGTTAAAGGGCCTCTCAGCCCCCAGCAGAAGGAGCTCTCAGAACTCTGTATCTCAACTTGTAAGCAGCAGATGCTGAAGTACTAGACTAAGTTGCTGTGCCAAAGCATCAAGGCATGCATCCTAATCTTCCTTTATTTCAGCAAAAAGTATCCGTATATTTTTACGGAGGAAAAATAAGTATCCAGGCCTGATTTTCTCATATTCTGCAACACATTTAGATTAAAAAAACTAAAACCCACCTGTTTTAGAACAATGGGAAACAAGCGTGGTTGGATTTTACATACTGAAAAATCATACCTTCACTCCTATGCTAGCTATGACACTAGTTCTGTTAGCTAATATAAAAATATTGTTCTAGAGAGATGCTTAGGTTTAAGAATGCCAGGTTTAGGTCAATCCGTGCTACATCACTGATACAGAAAAGAAAGCACAGTCCTATAACAAAACATTTTATAATGTTCTGAAAGACATCTGCAGTCAGTTTCCTACTGTTAGGACATAAAAATAAACCTAAGTAGTCCTCTATATTCTTTTAAGCAGGTCATCTCTCACAGCACTAAAAAACCAAATACAATCAATAATTGTTTATCATCCTTTAATAAACGATAATAACTACATCAATATAAGATTTTTGGTAGCAAACTCTCAGAAAATGCTGGATGGACCCAAAAAAGAGAAAGGATTTTAAATGCAGGTTTAAGCCACCTTTGCAATTCTCTGAGAGTAGGATTCAGCCATTGCCAATACAACCACTCTATGTCATCCAACCTAGATCCACCTCTATGGAGGAAAAAAAAAAAAAAAAAGAAAGATTCTCACACAATGTCATCACGGCCATGGTTGGTTGGTTTTATTTGTTTTGCTACAGTAAAGGTTTAGTTTTCTGTTTTCACCAGGTTGTATGCAGTGCTTCTCACAGCAGAGAGAGTTAAAAAAACCCACTGCCTTGCAGGGTATAACATTCATCTGAGATACAGCTATCCTTGCTCCAACAAGGATTTAAAAAAAATTTTCCCTCATCTCACATTAATCGTTGGGCTATTGGATTGTATTCATACTCCCTAGAACAAACCATGAGCTAGGAAGTATCCTAGCAGCTCTCTGCCAAGTCAAGAGTGCTGCCACTTTCATAAATAAGAGATCTGTCCGGAACATTTAGAATCAGGCAGCCGTTTTGCTGACAGAACACATCAAATTTCTTCATTTGTAAATGCAATATACCCACATGAATCCACTTAGAGAAGAGGAATCAATCAAATTACCAACAGCACTTAAAGGTGTTCTAAATATTCTATGAAAATCATGTCTTAAAGCATTCTCATAGCATTAAAACCCGGTCTATTTAAGTAAAATCTAATTAGGTTCTGAGAGTAAAATAGAACATACTACTCAACAACAAAAAAACCCCAACAAACTAATAAAACTTCAATTAGGGGAAAAATTGTCTTATTCAGTCCTTAAGACTCTTTTTTAGGGCTTTGCTGTGAGAAGGCAGGTGAACAGTGTATTCCCACACAGAAAAGCAGCGATGGACTTCACGGTTTAGTGTGCCTTGATGTTCACCTACCTACGTTGCTAGGTGTCGGCAAGGTTTGAAAAACCCCAATAATCTAAATACGGCACGTAGATTGTATTTGTGCTTCTATACAAAGGCGGGAGGACTAAAACAACCAACCAAACCAAAAGCCACTTGCCAGTGACCTTCAGGCACGTCTTCCGAATCCCGGGTCACAAACTCCCTCGGTCAATGGAGACGTTAATTGTTACTCATCAACTTTCAGCATCGTCTTAAGACAGGTTAACGAGCCGGCCGCTTCGCCGCTAAGCCCAAGGGACGGCACGCCGCCTCGCCGGGCTGCGGGGCCTCTGCGGGCAAACCCCCCCACCCCGCTCCCCGCCGTCGGCTGCCGATCGCTCCACAGCCCGGCTGCGGCTTGGCAGGCCCCCGGCCCGGGGGGGCACGCAGCCCCGCGCCAGGCCCGG